CTGTTCTTGTGGCAACAGACATCAACCTTCTGCCAGTTTAATCCATTGCCAGGGTGGGAGGGATCAGCCTCAATCTTTGCCGCTCGCTTCAGCGTCCTGGAGGTGTGTAGGTCGCGTAGAGATGGCAGATTGCAGCCAGTGACCCGCTCTGCAGAAGGGATGATGTTCTGCAGCCTGCCCTTGTCCTTAACATTGGCCGCAGCATATCAAATGATATGGAGAAGGTCAGGATGGACTCAATGATGGCTATGTAGAAGTCCACCATCATTGTCTTTGTCAGGATTTTTCAGCTGCCGCTGGAAGTACATTACAATGTTTACATGGGTGAACGAGACATCAATATGACAAAAAATTATATTATTGTATCACTTTTTCTCACTCAGGATATACACTTGACACCAATAACAATCGTGCATTTGCACGATGTCTGACAAATGTCTGACAAAAAAACACAGTACAGATCCCAAAGATGGGAGACGAACCTGAACATGAAGGGTATGTGTGAGTGTGTGTGTAATCCATACAAATGTTTCCTCTAATCTCAGGGCCCTATGACGCGTTGCATTTGCAGAAGACCAAATTCGATAATGGTCTGTCAGGCATTTGTGCACGGTGAGGCTGCAATATGATGCCACGCTCCACCGGAGCACAGGAAGCAGGCGATGCCAGCACCCTGATGGCCACTCAGGGCTGTGAAGGAAGAGCATTCAGGTTCATTGTTTTAATAAGACATTCTGTCCTTCGCATATCAAGGTAGTGATATCCTGCAAACCGACCTTCTTCTTGTCTAAAGATATGGTCCTCTCGTTCTTTCTCATCAACCAGAGGCACAGCTTTGCTTAGTTCCAGCAGCATCTTGCATAATCAGTTCTGACTGAGAAAAAGAAAAAGAAGAAAAAGTTACATTAAACTCAATAAAATGTGCTTTTCACTCTTTGCACCAGCTCCTCCTTGGCCTCCTCTTTGACCTGCACTTTGTGCTCCACTCAGATCAGAGAAAAAGCTTTGAGGTAGACTGAATCTGAAAAAAGGACAGTGGTTTCTGACCAGGTCGCTCAGGTAATGGCCCTGAGACCTCTGACCAGGCTGCTCAGTAAATGTCCCTGAGACTTCTGACCAGGCAGCTCAGTAAATGGCCCTGAGACTTCTGACCAGGCTGCTCAGTAAATGTCCCTGAGACTTCTGACCAGGCAGCTCAGTAAATGGCCCTGAGACTTCTGACCAGGCTGCTCAGTAAATGTCCCTGAGACTTCTGACCAGGCAGCTCAGTAAATGGCCCTGAGACTTCTGACCAGGCAGCTCAGTAAATGGCCCTGAGACTTCTGACCAGGCAGCTCAGTAAATGGCCCTGAGACTTCTGACCAGGCAGCTCAGTAAATGGCCCTGAGACTTCTGACCAGGCAGCTCAGTAAATGGCCCTGAGACTTCTGACCAGGCAGCTCAGTAAATGGCCCTGAGACTTCTGACCAGGCAGCTCAGTAAATGGCCCTGAGACTTCTGACAGGTCACTCAGTATATGGCCCTGAGACTTCTGACCAGGCAGCTCAGTAAATGGCCCTGAGACTTCTGACAGGTCACTCAGTATATGGCCCTGAGACTTCTGACCAGGTCACTTAGTAAATGGCCCTGAACCTTCTGACCAGGCAGCTCAGTAAATGGCCCTGAGACTTCTGACAGGTCACTCAGTATATGGCCCTGAGACTTCTGACCAGGTCACTTAGTAAATGGCCCTGAACCTTCTGACCAGGCAGCTCAGTAAATGGCCTGGACACCTCTGACCAGGCAGCTCAGTAAACCTCTGCTGCTCCAGGTGACGATTCAGGGACAGAGGGAACAACACAACATATTGTGACACTTCTCCCCCTTTGTCAAATCTGTCTAGAACATGACAGAGCTTTAGATGGTCACATTTGATAACTGCCTTCACTTGTCTCAGTCTTGTGTTGACAGCAGCAGGGATGTCTATCCCGAAATCCAGCCTCACACACCTCTGTAATTGTTGTTCCTGTATGCAGCAGTGAGCTGATTTTTTTACTTTGAAAGTAAAAGAGTCATCACTTTTGTTTCTTTTAAGCTATCTCCCACCACCAGCTGGACAGTGTAAGCAAAACGCTACATGCACAGATTTTTTGCAATAGCAGCATTCACTGTTTGCTTGTCTTTCAGGGTTAGGTCATTCCAGAGCACTGGGTCATCAAGGTGATCTTCATCATATAGTTCTTGTTCAATGAGGAAGCACACGTGAATGCTTTTCTCATGTTTGCAGTATTGTTACTAATATAGCCCAATTAGTCTTCAATGCTGTACTCCACATATTGCCTAAAATGTCCTCATAGATTATTTCCGGCAGTTTGTGGGCCTTCAAAGCGAACACAGTCCAAGTGATTTGACTTCTATCCTCTCTCCATTTTTCTTGATACAGTGAACAGTGACACCAGGGGAACCCCTTCACCTTTCGGTCAGACCAAAATTTCCACTGTGACTAAAACTTTAGAGTTTTCAGTTTTGACTTCTCTCTGTAGCCAGGTTCACTACTTTTGATGTGAATGTTCTGCGACACACTGGGCTGTACTTACTGTCAACCACTGAGAGAGCGATGAAAACAATTGACAATAACCAGGTCAGACAAAATCGCATTCCTGCTAGCTTTCGGCTCTGGATAATTCATGCTGTACTACCCAACACGGTGACAGTCAAGGTTCACTTATGACACTTTAATTCATCGGCTATTGTTCAAAGTGCTTAGCATATTATGCCGATGTCAGAAAAAAGATGTGGAGCTTCAAAAACTAAACAAAGTTGTAGCTTCTCCGTTTGTAATTTTCCTTCCGCATGTTTTGCATTTTTTGCCTGTTGCAATCCTTTTTTTGTTCACTACAGAATTGTCTTCATATCCAAAAATAATGAATTACTAAAACAAATCCAAAGACTTCGTCTGAATTCACCCACCGACAGTCCTCTGCATGGCCCCGCACTACTTTCTCTATGCTGACACAATTTGTTTTTGCTGCTTTTGGATTCTAACTGTAATCAGTTAATTACTTGATGCACTGGACACTTTTTTCAATAGCATCATGTTAAAAATGTTGGCTTTTTGTTTACTGGGAAAACCAAATTAACTGCTGTCTCATTTACCTTGTATTATAATAATTTAAAAAACACAACTAAAATGAATTTTATACGCATGAAACATGTACAATTCATTGGAAATGTGGGCAGTATTTTTTTAATTTTTTTATTATTCCAGGGAGACACATTGAGACCAAGGTCTCACTTGCCAGTCAGTAGTTACAAAAGGTGTCTGTAATGCGATCCAACTCTGAGATCTAGTATTGAATCCAGAAGATCTAGGTCTCAACAGTGATGTAAATATTGTTAGACTGGACAGACGGGCAAGACCCAAATGCGGACAGAGGCGGAGATCTGATTCAACAGTGTGTTTATTGCTGAATACAGGGGTAAGGCAATCTCAGAGTCGGTTAGGCAGGCAGAGTTCGATGGTTTGATAGATGTACAAGGGGGCAGGTGATCTCGGAGTCGGTAGGCAGGCAGAGTTCAATAGGGTCCGTTAGGCAGGTACAAGGGAGCAGGCAATCTCGGAGTCGGGGACAAAACAGGAGTCGGTACTGGGAAGACAGAACAGAGGACAGGTAGACAGGAACACCGATGATACAGGAGAAAAGCGCTGGAAACGTACGACGAGACAATACGATCTGGCACCAGGGAACAGGGCACACCGACATAAATAGACAGACAGTAATGGGAACCTGAAAACACCTGGTGGGGGGCGTGGAGACAATTACGAGACAGGTGACTGAGATCAGGGTGTGACAGTACCCTCTCCCCTACGGGCGCCTCTGGGCGCCCGTCCCGGACCCCAGCCTGGTTGACCGGGGCGTTGCCGATGGAAGTCGGCGATGAGCTGCGGGTCAAGGATAGAACGAGCAGAGACCCAAGACCGCTCCTCCGGCCCGTAGCCCTCCCAGTCAACCAGGTACTGGAAACCCCGGCCCCGGGGATGGACTCCCAGGAGGCGACGAACGGTCCAAGCCGGCTGGCCGTCTATAACCCGAGGAGGCGGGGCCGGTCTGGGAACAGAAGACAAAGGACAATGAGATACAGGTTTAACCCGAGACACATGAAACGTAGGGTGAATACCGAGGGACCGGGGCAACATCAGACGGATAGCAGATCGACTAATGACCCGGGAGATCTTGAACGGCCCAATGTAACGGGGGACAACTTGCGGCTTTCTACTTGAAGGGGCAGGTCTCGGGTGGATAACCATACCCGCTGGCCCACCCGATAATGGGGAACCGGGGTCCTGTGGCGGTCCGCCTGTCGTTGGGATCTGATGTTGCTGCGTATTAGACGAGCCCGAGCCTTTTCCCAGGTCCGGCGACAGCGCCGGACAAAAAGCTGAGCCGAAGGAACTTCGACCTCTTCCTCCTGTTCCGGGAACAGCGGAGGCTGGAAACCCATGGAACACTCGAACGGAGAAAGCCCATTGGAGGAGCAGGGGAGGGTGTTGCGGGCGTACTCCACCCAAACTAGTTGATGGCTCCAGGTGGTTGGATTGTCCGAAACCAGACACCGCAGCACAGTCTCGAGATCCTGGTTGGTACGTTCCGATTGACCATTCGACTGTGGGTGAAACCCTGAGGACAGACTTATGGATGCTCCAATCAGATTGCAGAACGCCTTCCAGAACTGGGAGGTGAACTGGGGACCCCGGTCAGAGACTACGTCCTTGGGCAATCCGTGGATCCGGAAGACGTGCTGCACCATCAGTTGGGCAGTCTCCTTGGCCGATGGCAACTTAGACAGAGGAATGAAGTGGGCTGCCTTCGAGAAACGATCCACTTGAGCCATAAACTGCTGTAATTTGCAAAATGGTGAATTGGTCCCTAGGAGACTGCTTTTTTGTCCTTGTGTTTAATTGTTATGTACTGTATGTCTGTTCGCCATACCTCTTGTGCTCCAACTCTTCAGCTTAGGCCTGGAGAGAATCTGGGGATTGAACACAGGACATCAAATATACAAAGCAGGCACTCTACCACTGAGCTACCACCTCCCATATTTTGGGCAGATTTACACATACATATTGAATGGCTAAGTGTGTCCAAACTGTTGTGTCTGAACTCTTCACCTATTCTACTGTGTGTATAAAAAAGTGACTGACTAAAAGACACTTTTACGACTGTTGCCTTGGTTCCCAAATGGAAGGGAACGAGATACAACCGAACCTCCTGGTAGCATCATATCATAATATCATTATCATGGAGAGTGGACCGGAATTATTGTGGTTAGTGTTAAAGACTGGATTCAATTTCATATACAGCATAGTGTGAAACCATTCCCCATAGGTGCTTAACATTATTCCTACCTTTGCGAAACTGTACAGAAATATAGTAACAATTTTAGGTTACATTGTTTTGCAGATGACCAAGCATTGGGGTTGTTTGTGTGAAAAAAGATCCACAATGCAAAAAAGTTACCTTAAGACCTTGAACCGCCACTTAACCTTGTCGGCATCTAGAGTATCTTTACCAGCATCAAGCTGCTATATGTTTGTAGACACAATCTACATGGAGATTGGGAATGCCTTGGGTAAAAAGATAATTTCCCAATTATTTCCACAGTCTATTGGGACAGATTACAATCCCACACTTAAACAGTGCCTGTGGCTGAGATTTAATTTGCTCAAGATCAAAAGCATCATGGTTAAACACATTTAATGTCTGATAAGGAACATGAATATACATGACTAAAGTTTAAAGGCCTTGCTCACTGTTGATGTGGTAGGATTTGGGAGCAGAACTTGGATTGCATAAAAATGTTATATTTACATGACATTATGAAAAGCAAGACCTCTTAGCTTTGCTTAATTCAAACTCCAATACAGTTACAGCATTTCCGTTAAGACATTGCTTATTTGCAGTGGATATAAAAAGTCTAGTCACCCTCGTTTTGTTTTTCAATTGAATTGTTCACGTTAGAGGTCACATTAAAGATGGAAAAAGTTCTGACGTGATTTATCTTTCATTTTTTACATCACAAAATCTGGGGTGTGCAGACTTTTTTATATCCACTGTACATGCCTAGACTCTAACTGTCACTGACAGAGAAAGTAGCTTGTACTGTAACTGCGATAGAGTGGGCACCACTGGAAGTTTTCCCTGATTTGGTAACCAACCATAAAACCTCTATCCTTGAAACTGTTTGAAGTTTGCAGATATGTGAGTGAGATAATGTGAAATCCGATGTTGTTTCCATAGTCCTTTGACGTTGTGCTACCAATGGCATGTTTTACTATATCTATCAGACACTGGTGGTTCAGCCTGTATAAGGCAATCATTTTTAATTTGCATATACCTAATTTGGTATACCTTGCTAGTACAAGGATGGACACTGGAGGATATTCATGACATGACATGAATATCCTTCAGGTTTTGCAATTCAGAAATTCCTTAATTATTTCTGGTGTAGATGTAACACGGTGCTGGAAACATTCCACAGAGATGTTGCTTAATATTGACATTAAAGCATCACGTAGTTGCTGCAGATTTGTCAACTGCACATCCATGATGTGTTTTTCAGATGTTTTAAAGGTGTTTTATTGGATTGGATCTGGTAACTGTGGAGGCCAGTTGAATTAAATAGTAGCCATGTTCAAGAAACCAGTTTGAGATGATGGGAGCTTGGAGATGGGTACTGTGGTCATAAAGGGATGGACATGGTCTGCAACAATACATTGGTAGGTTATGGTGTTTTAACAATGCCACAGTCAACTCAACTTAAATTTCTTCCCCATTCTGATGGTTGGTTTGAACTTCAGCAGATCATCTTGACCATGTCTACATGCCTGAATGCATTCGGATGCTGCCACAATATATATACATTATCAGCAGTTGAGCTTTATATATTTTATTAGAATATGCACTGCATATGTTAGCTGTATGTATGTTCGTTTTTTACAATCAAGTATTAATGCACAATAAAATCTAGGGCTGGGGTCGGTATGGTTTTCTCAAGATTCGATTCAACATTCTATACAAGACTGGCCATTAGAGTTCTATTGGATAAAAAATGTAAAGAGCAGTTAGATATGGTGAGTGATGCAACAGGTGATAGCTGGCTGGACTGTTGTTGCTCCTAGACACTTTTACAACTATACTACTTACAGTTGACCGGGGAGATATAGTTTCAAGTCACTGAGTTCGTCAGTACGACCCATTGTCCATTTCTATGGACATTTCATGGCCGTATCTGTAAGGAACTCCCTCTGGTCCCCTCTATGCTGGTGCTGACACTCCCCCAATCAGCATAGAGGGAAAATCAAAGACATTCCTTGCACCTGTGTTTTCGTCACACCTGTTCAGTGTTAGTTCGTTAGTGTCTGTATATAGTTTGGTCGGTGTCTGTCTGTCATTGTTGGGTCATTGTTTAAGTTCTCAGAGCTAAGTGCCTATCCTGCCTGCCTGAAGAATAAACCTTTGTGATTCAAAAGTATTCTCTGCGCCTGTGTCTACTACTTGACGTCTGCCCTAAGGGCATATCGTTACAGAATGACCCAACCCGAAATGACACAGCGGAGAATGAAGGGCAGAGCATCTGCCTGTGCTCAGCCTGCTGAGCTGGCTGTAGGTGTTCGCCGGTGCGCTACTCGGCGCGGACCACCTCTCCCTCCACGAGCTTTCCCTTTACCGTCTGTCTGGCTGCCGGCGGACTACGGGGCACTGCGGGAGGGGAGAGAATGGCAGTACTCCGACTCTGAGGAGGAATTGGTGGACGAGTGCTGGGAGGAGGACGAGGTAGAGAGACTCAGTCGGGAGCTGGGCCTAGAGTCTCCCGCGCCGTCGTCCAAGATGGCTGCCGCCCCGCAGCACAAGATGGCTGCCGCCCCGCAGCACAAGATGGCTGCCGCCCCGCAGCACAAGATGGCTGCCGCCCCCCAGTCTGAGCCTGTTCCCGTTTCCCAGTCTGAGCCTGTTCCCGTTTCCCGTGTCTGTCCCAGTCCCCGTGTCTGTCCCAGTCCCTGTGGCTGTCCCAGCCCCAGAGCTCACCCCGGCCCCCGAGCCCCGTCCTGTCCTCGAGGCCAGTCCAACGCCCGAGGTCGTCCTCATGCCTGAGCCAGTTCCCGGGCCAACGACTGTTGCCGGGCCTAGGCCAGTTCCCCGGCCACCTGAACCGTGTCCTCCGGCACGGCCACCTGAACCGTGTCCTCCGGCACGGCCACCTGAACCGTGTCCTCCGGCACGGCCACCTGAACCGTCTCCTCCGGCACGGCCACCTGAACCGTCCCCTCCTGCACGGCCACCTGATCCGTCCCCTCCGGCACGGCCACCTGACCCGTGTCCTCCGGGCCTGCCTCCTGACCCGTGTCCTCCGGGCCTGCCTCCTGACCCGTGTCCTCCGGGCCTGCCTCCTGACCCGTGTCCTCCGGAGCTGCCTCCTGACCCGTGTCCTCCGGCGCTGCCTCCTGACCCGAGTCCTCCGGCGCTGCCTCCTGACCCGAGTCCTCCGGCGCTGCCTCCTGACCCGAGTACTCCGGCGCTGCCTCCTGACCCGCTCCCGCCGGGTAGACCTCCTGACCCGCTCTCGCCGGGTAGATTTCCTGACCCGCTCCCGCCGGGTAGACCTCCTGACCCTCTCCCGCCGGGTAGACCTCCTGACCCTCTCCCGCCGGGTAGACCTCCTGACCCGCTCCCGCCGGGTAGACCTCCTGACCCGCTCCCGCCGGGTAGACCTCCTGAACCGCTCCCGCCGGGTAGACCTCCTGACCCGCTCCCGCCGGGTAGAACTCCTGACCCGCTCCCGCCGGGTAGACCGCCTGACCCGCTCCCGCCGGGTAGACCGCCTGACCCGCACCCGCCGGGTCGACCGCCTGACCCGCCGTCGTCGCCTGTCCGGTCTCCTGATCCGTCCTCGCCTGTCCGGTCTTCTGATCCGTCTCCACCGGCATGGCCTTTGGACCCGTCAGCTCCTGGACGTCCTCCTGATCCGCCACCGCCTGGTCGACTCCCTGACTCGTCTCTGCCGGGTCAATCACCTGACCTGCATCCGCCAGACCGGGCTCCAGACCCGTCTCTCTGTCCTGCCCGAGACCCGTCCCTCTGTCCTGCCCGAGACCCGTCCCTCTGTCCTGCCCGAGACCCGTCCCTCTGTCCTGCCCGAGACCCGTCCCTCTGTCCTGCCCGAGACCCGTCCCCCTGTCCTGCCCGAGACCCGTCTCTCCGTCCGGCGCATGTCCAGCATCTCAGGCCTCCCTGCCCTTGTCTTTGGGCGCTTCAGGAGCCGCACCCTTAAGGGGGGGGTTCTGTAAGGAACTCCCTCTGGTCCCCTCTATGCTGGTGCTGACACTCCCCCAATCAGCAGAGAGGGAAAATCAAAGACATTCCTTGCACCTGTGTTTTCGTCACACCTGTTCAGTGTTAGTTCGTTAGTGTCTGTATATAGTTTGGTCGGTGTCTGTCTGTCATTGTTGGGTCATTGTTTAAGTTCTCAGAGCTCAGTGCCTATCCTGCCTGCCTGAAGAATAAACCTTTGTGATTCAAAAGTATTCTCTGCGCCTGTGTCTACTACTTGACGTCTGCCCTAAGGGCAGATCGTTACAGTATCAGGATTTGTTTGTACCTGTGGTAATAGTTGTGCTATTAAAACACCTGAACTCCTGAATAATTATGGGCCTGTACACATACTTTTGGCTATATAGTTTAGGTCACAACACTCTAGTTCAAATTGCTAAACAACCTATGTTCTCTCCATTTGTTAATTAAAAAGGGAAAAATGCCAATATCTGTAAGAATACGTTTGTATACAATTTTTTAATTTAATTTTTTAATTTTTTTCTTCTACCTGTCAGCTGTTATTTCCTGATAAGTTTACTATTAATGTTATGGGTAGATATTCATTCGGGACTCATTAAACCAGGCAACCTTCCACTGCTCCAAGGTCCAGTTGTAGGGTCTTTTGGCATCGTGGTCACGCTGATCGATCTGTGACCATGCATTATGCAATGTGACATGTTGCTCCCTTAACCAAAGTTAACATGTTCTGTAACTTGTGCCAGTAG